TTGTCACGACAATGCACTGTAAGAGTATAATATGAGACGTTTGGCCACGTGGTTCCAGAAACCTACAGGGGTATGTCTATTTTACGAGTTTGTACACTGTTAAACTAAGTGTTCAACTGCTCAACACTTCTAAGTGTGCAACTGCAAGTTATGTACTTGGAACTGTGCAACTGCAAGTTGAATACTTGCAAGTGTGCAACTCGGTAGGTATGTACTTTCAAGTGTGCAACTCCTCGGCTGAGCACTTCCTACACAGTAAGAGTCCAATCTAAGCAAGTGTTTAAATGAAGAGTTGCACACTTGCAAGTGCACACCTACCGAATTGAACACTTGCAAGTGTACGACTACAAATTTGCACACTTGCAAGTATTCAACTTGCAGTTGCACACTTACAAGTGTTGAGCAGTTGAACACTTAGTTTATCAGTGTACTGATGGAAAAGTATCTCAAATTTAAATGTTCTACTCACAAGGGGTACAATATTTTGATCGGGACAAATCGAATTTCAAATTAACATGTAAATACTGTTAGGAAACATCCATCAGTGTATGCAGGAGTGGGTTATGCTCGCCGTCTTATTTTTCGCTTATACTGTACCGGATTTAGGAGTGCGGGCGGGCTTCCCTACCGTCGGTGGCCATATGGCACCGTGTGAGCATACCGGGTGTCCCGGCTCTTACATGCCAGTATGGCGGGTTGCATACGCACCGGCTCGCAGGCGCTGTCGGGAACGCGCAGGATTTCGCGCATCCCCCGCGGAACCGCGAGCACCCCCGCTGCAGGATTTCGCGCATCCCCCGCGGAACCGCAAGAACCCCCGCTACAGGATTTCGCGCATCCCCCGCGGTTCCACGGGGAGGATCGCGGTTCCGCGGGGATGCGCGAAATCGTGCAAGCTCCCGACAGCGCCTGCGAGTCGGTGTTTATGAAACCCACCATACTGGCATGTAAGAGCCGGGACACCCGGTACAATTCTCCCGTGCACGAGTGGATTGCATACTCACACGGGGCCGTAAGGCGTCAGGGCGAGCGACAGTAGGCAAGCCCGCCTGCCCGTATAAGCGGAAAAGAA